AATAATTCAACTGAATAAATAGACTCGTCTATCCGCTTTATATTGGCTGCTTTCATTGAATGGAGAATCTATACAGTGATAAAGTCCTCAGATCTTCATTAATTCCTTTTGGATTAATTTTATATTCATTGATTTTATTTGAAGATTAATCGATGAAGTTTCGCATTCGAGCCGTAGTTAAAATTCTCGGCATTCCGGCACTAGAAACAGAAAAACCCTTCCTGTTTCAGTTMCACTTCATGTCCACAATTACTAAAGATTATTGATTTCTACTCAGCAAATCAGTTATTCTGATGTTTTGCGGTAAGAGGAACGCATTTCTAGACAMAGTAAAAGTTGTGTAATCGCCYGTTTACAYATTCTGCCAGACAAACGAAGGCCATAAGGTGATYAGGGTATCAAATGTATTAAAATGTGACATTGGCAAAAGTACTTTTGAGAATCTGTGTCATATAAAGTATATGAAATTRAATTATTCAGTCACGGAACTTAAACATTGTAATTTGACGGGAAATTCACGAATTCAGATCAGGCTGAAACTCTTTTGTTCAATCAGTCAGTAGTGAAACCGCAATGCATGCATATCTTTTTTTCTTTTTCTTTGTCTTATTTTTTTTTCTTTTGCCAAAGACAACTTTTTATTAGCTGTTCACCATTCCCCCTCATTTTGACCTGCACAGGCTTTTAGAATTATCTACATGCGAAGAGTCTGTCGCTAATATATTGGACCACGTTTTAAAGAATCGAAACTTTGTTCTTCCTTCGGTTAAAATTTCCATTCTCATGAAACTGACGTCACAGAGGATCGAAACACAGTTTGTGATTTATAGATTGGTCAGGTGACGTTGCCCTTATAGCAATGCAGGTGATGTAACGGATACTCGGTATCACAAATTTAGCATTTCATTTTAGACTTTCATTTTGTTCCACTTTCAGGATGTTTCACTGATGACGTATAGTTAGTAGGGGGAGACTCCCTCTATGGTGAACGGGTCCATGTGACTGAGGCACAGACTGGGCCCTGAAAACCCAGTTAAAATTAGTGATGTCAATTAGGGAGGAAGGGAAAGGGATCATAGACGGGAGAGCTCGTTGTGCTCGACTTTCTTTGGTCGAAAATTTAATACAGCCCGGCGYTAAAATGTTTACTCGTTAATATCTTTTATGGTGTCCGTTCCGGTACCTTCGCTAATAATGTCACCTGATAACGATCTAGTTTAAAAACTCGCATGATGTTGGTATCGTTCCACAATGCAAGCTGAATCAGTACKCTTTTCTAAATTTATAAATAACCCTCTGTTCTTTCAGCATCCAAGGTTTCTATCGAGGCTAAGAATTTCAGTGTCGTCGAGTCTAAAACACTGACACTTTACTGCAACACCTCTGTCTTTTCAAACTCTACCGTGACATGGATAAAGTCCAGTGATCGCGACAATATTCTGTCACGCAACAATACACTGACGTTTAGTAACATCTCTCGAGGAGACAGTGGTCGTTATATATGTAATGCAACAAACGGATCATGGTACTTGGCTGATGACACCTTTGTGAATGTCAAATGTAGGTACAACTAGATGTACCAATTGTTGTTGTTGCTATTGTTGTTGTTGTTATTGTTGTTGTTGTTATTGTTATTGTTGTTATTGTTGTTGTTGTTATTATTGTTGTTGTTGTTGTTGTTGTTGTTGTTATTATTGTTGTTGTTGTTGTTGTTATTGTTGTTGTTGTTGTTATTGTTGTTGTTGTTGTTGTTCTTGTTGTTGTTGTTTATTGGACGGGAATAGAGCTTGTTACTGAGGAAGAAACGTAACCTATGATTGAAAAGTATTCGAAGTTACAGGGTGTGTTCATTGTCAGATCTTGGTTTAGCTCATTGCATTAAGTAGCCTGATTTTTATGTCTACACCCAGGCCCCGAGCGAACATCAGGCTAGGTCCGTTGAGGCACTATTTATTGGAAGTGTGCATTGATTGTGTTGTTTTGCAACGAGTGTTTACAGTATAATTAATAAATAATAATTAAAAATGTTATCAATGCAATACTTCATATTTTATATAGATGCTCCAAGTAACCTAAGTCTMACTTCAAATCGCACTGTCATGAATATGTCCCAGGCAACACTGACATGCAATGCAACAGGCAACCCATCACCAAATGTTACGATTTACAAAGATGAGAAGCTACTAAAAGCAGGCTTAAAACATGTTATGGTTGAATTTCAACCTGTGACAGTAAATCATACAGGATGGTACACATGTGAAGCGTTTAATGTTGTAGGAAAAGTAGATAAGAAGACATACCTTGACGTACAGTGTAAGTGATTTAATTAACCTTCTTTACTAGTTAAACATAATGAACAATTACCATTGCCATTATCGTTGATGCTCATTTTGTTTCAAGTACAARCTCATCGTCATCTTTTCTTGTTTATTCATTTTTTAATGTCTCTTCTTATGACAAATACTTCGATGAAATCTTTATCTTACAGATGCACCAATTGTGTCCATTACCACTGGTTCAACCGTTAATGTTTGGCTTGGTAAAGTTGTCCAGACAAAGTGTCAAGCAACTGGTAATCCTGTACCTAATGTCATGTGGTACAAGGATGATCGCATTATGTCATATACTGCAGACTTAAACATAAACATTACTTCTAAAAAACAGATTGGGATATATCAATGTGTTGCTTGGAATATCAGAGGAAACACGTCACGTGAAGTGCTGTTCAATCGAACCAGTAAGAAATTACTTTTGCTGCCACACGATCGTCTTCTCTGAAAGTAGTGTCCGCCATCTTGGATCTTGTTTTGAAAAAGACAGCAAATTAGGTTGATGAAAGCAAAAAAGACATGAAGAGAGACAAGTTCGATTGATGATGTTATTAATCTTTATATCGAGATGAAATAAAAGTCTTTCTATTTTACAGGATTTTGTCCTGGAGTCACTAAAATCACCAACAATATGACGGACCTTACTTCACCAAATCTTACATTAATATGGTCAAAGCCAGATATCAACGGTAGCCCAATAACGAGTTACTATATACGGAAGCAGCAGATCTATAAGAATGGTACCAAGGGACTCTTGGAATGTTCGGGTACCACCTCGCCTCCAACCAGGAAGTACTTCTTTGTTTTGTCTTGGGGAGCAAAATATCAATTTTACGTCGTCGCAAAAAATGGACAGGGCGAAACAAATGGCCAGCCGAAAACTTTTACTGTGATTGAAGGTATGTATAAACTAGAATGAGGGCGTTTCCATCACCTTTTGGCAGAGATTTTCCTATAATTTTCATTTCATCACTTCACAAGAAAAAAAAGATCGAAAATGATCTAGTGTACTTATTTATTTTTGTCGTTCGCTTATTCACTGGTTGTTTCTAAAATTATTTGTTTGTTTTTTTTTTCCTTTTTAGAACCAACAATCCAAACAACAACAATAGCAGGTGGGTAAATGTGCATGCTAAATAGTAATGTGATTACGTAAAATTGCATACTTTAGAGCGGATTTCGTATGAGTGGGACACCGTTACCGCACGGTTACCGCACAGTCACCGGACCTGGCCTGCACAACTTTCGTGAAACAATGGGCCACTGGAATTTAGTTACAGTAGGCGATTACAGTCACAGTACAGTACCGTCCGTTTCCCCACTCATACGAAGTCCGCTCTATGATATACCGCCGGACTGTATTCTTACAATGGAAATTGGTCAAGATGACACCATACACTCAAGTATCCCATAAATACAGCTGTATTCGCTCATTAACATTAATTCATTTCCTATTGAATTTACTGCTCTGTCACAGTCAAGCCGTTCCCCACTGTTGCTGTCGCTGGTGGAGCTGGAGCCTTTGTATTCATTCTTTTTGTTATATGCTTGGTTTGCTGYATTCGAAGAAAATCCACTAATCAGGATATCATACGTAAGTATGGTACCTGGCGATTCCCAGCATGCTGTTCGTTGCGTGCGTATTGTTGGGATTCCTGTGCATTGATAACAACGCAACGCTTATGTGAAATATTTGGAAGTTATTCTATAATTGTCCGAAACTATGTCTGGTAATAACTGTATGATGTATTTGATCTTCTGCAGCACCGCCTTGTCGAAAGCAGTCAAATTTTAATCACAGGTGAGATCTTTATAGCTTTTTTTATCACCATAAAATATATAAAAATGATTTTTACACTTCTATATCATTACAGTATGCTAATGGATGAATTATCATCAAGTGTGTCACCTACCACTCCAAGTGAACGCTACCAGGTAAATATGGTTTCTTTTAATTCAAGTCAACTTACTGATACTCCACATTCGACTTTCAATATTATATTATGTTATGTATTGGCGAAAACTGACGACAATTTTTCCATTTCAGGGACATCTTAGTCTTAATAGTAGACGCAATACTCAACATCAAGACGAGCCGTTCAGTGAGCAAGTCATTTACGACAACGTAGCGTTTGTTGACAAGTCCGTGGAGGGCTGGGAGATACCTCGAAACAACGTGTGCATCGAGAAAATTATTGGCAAAGGTGCATTTTGTCAAGTTGCCAAAGCTTTTGTAACAGGACTAGGCACTGTTGCAGTTAAAATGATAAGAGGTAAGAGCTGTTAAATGTTGTATTGTGGTAAACGTAGGGAGTTTATTACGCAGTACAAAGGTCAGCATAAATGGCGCGCGTTTTTTTGTGTGTGTGTTTAAGGAAAAGGGGATCAATCGTCTAATCGCAAAGATTTGCTGGAAGAATATAAATTGCTACAACACCTTGGACAGCACGATAATGTCATTCTCGTGTTGGGTGGAGTCACAATAACAGGTGAGATTGTCTCGAATATGCAACTAAATAGTGCAATTTGATAATCATCATTGCCATCATTCATATGAGGGTGACAGCATGGCACTGGATATGACCAATTGGATATACTCGGAGATTTAAATCATATTTGCCTAAGCATGCTACATTGTTAATATTTCTCGTGACCTGAAACACTATTATCTCGAATTATTCATATTATTTCGAATATGTAACTTTTTTGGCACAGTATACATTTCCTATTTAAATGTATCCAAGAGCACAAACACTAAAACTGTGCCACATAAATACCACTAAATACTGCTAAATTATGCTAATTCCATTGTTTTCTTTTGTTTAACTAACACTATTTTGTCAAGTAAATAGTGGTAAGTGTTGCACACATTTAATGTTTGTACTCTTAAGAGTGTTGTGTATAATTATCGTCGTGTTTTTACAGATCCTGTAATGGTTTTGTTTGAGTATGTCCCTTATGGGGATCTGCTGGGCTATCTAAGGCGCAGTCGCGGGCTCACCGACACATATTACAGYGAACCYGACAACCCGTCGACCAGTTCTCTGTCGTCGAAGCAGCTACTGAGATTTGCGCGCGAAATTGCTGATGGAATGGCTTTTATATCGAGCAAAAAGGTGATTGTATGTATAAAGGCTACGAAATAAAAGCTGGAAAACAACAACAACAGCAGCAGCAATAGCAACAACAACAACAACAKCAACAACAACAATGTGAAGAAGATGCAAACAAATAGTACCTAATTTTACATCAATTTTTGTCTGTAGATTATTCATCGTGATCTTGCTGCTCGTAATGTTCTTGTGGGTCAAGGGGAAACATGTAAAATCACTGACTTTGGAATGGCAAGAGATGTAAAACATAACGACGATATTTATAGAAAGAAAAAAAAGGTACTTCGATGATGATTTCAGGGAATTGATGGTTTTCAGCCATTCCCATGAGATTCTAAAGATAAAAAGACTGCGGCTATGTTGGAGGAATGAACAAATACCAATGAGAAATCCTTTGTTGAAGTTCCTCCAAGATGGCCGCTGTCACGTAACCTGAAAACGAAGAATTCCTGGATCTTTCTTTTGAGTTCACAATCAGTTCGTGAATCTTAATAAAAATCATCTCGTTTATAATGCAGGGTCGTCTTCCTGTTAAATGGACAGCATATGAAGCTCTTTTGTATGGTTTTTATTCAACGCAAAGTGACGTGTAAGTATCCAAAGTTCTGAGAACTCTTGTTATAAAATAGCACGCGTAAGAATGTTCGCGCACAACACTAACTTTATCGCACGAAATTGCACTAAAGACCAGCAGAATCATGCATTCTCCTAAAAAAATCAAAACTGAGAATATGGAATGAATATGTGGACGAATATGACCACACGATACAAAAATAGTTTCTAGCTTTGATTTCTTTAAAACGTGTAACATTGCAGGGGGTGTAGATGTATTTGTTTTTTCTAAGTCTTCGCTTTAATAGTTTTCATTTTATTTTTTTTTTTCAGATGGAGTTATGCTATAGTACTCTATGAAATTTTCACGATAGGTACGATTGCGTTATATGTCATCATTCTTGGTATATAGTGTTTGTTATTTGAAACTGTTGAAGGAACAAACACCTYGAGTTTGAACGCAGCTACTTGCAGACGCTRATTGGTTAGTGGTAGATCTACCCTTCATACATATTTCAGTAATTTTGTTTTTCCTCTCGTTTAAGGTGGAAGTCCGTACCCTGACATAGAACATCGACATATCGCAGAGAAAATCTATAAAGGATATAGAATGCCAAAACCTAAACATTTAGATGATGAAATGTGAGTAATTTATGATGTTCTTATACAGTTCTAATGTGTGATACCAGAAAGTATAAACTTGGCGTTTAATTCTTTAGATATGCRCTGATGACCGAGTGYTGGAGAACCTCGCCCGACTTACGACCGAGTTTTGAATCATTACGCTCTACGCTCAAAAGACTAGAAAAACATGAAAAGGTTAGCAGTCATTTCAATTATTGACAGTATATCAGAACGGGATTTGATGACATAGATTTATTTTTTTTTCTAATTTTCCATATCCTATCTTATTTTTAACGTTTCGTGATGACGTCGTATGATACTCAAATCTTCCATCATTACAAAACGACTAACCACACTAATATAACGGAAGGTATATCACTGTTATGGAAGCTCAGAGGAGAAGGGGATGTGSTATCCATGMAACCCTCTAARSCCCCAGCTGTATTYTTGTGAAATTATCCAATGTGACTTRTGTTTGRTTTTCAGGAGTACGTACATATGAATGATTATGAAAAAGACCTGTATGCGAACTTGGCTGAAATATAAAGATTTGCGACAGAGGCTTGTTTCAGTTCAGCCCAGAGACTCTCATTGTCTGTGCTTTCGTAGTGGGAAGACAGCGTTCTCACACTGATAAAGCATCTTTTGTAAAAAAAGGCTATAGATAATGATACATTTACATAGCATGGTATAGTATTATTTTTATTTTATCAATTATTATTTTATAATATGTTAGTCACAAATAAATAAATATTGATTGAGACTGCGTAGTTTCAAAATACTTGTCCGTGCACATGGACTGTTATTTTATTTTTATATTTACTTATTTATTTTTGGGAGATTTACAAAATAACCAGCACAAGGCTAGCCTGTGTACATCCGCTTCTTACCGCTCCGAAAAATCTCTCTCCCGATTTTTTTGGAGGGGTGAGAATCGGATGTACACAGGCTAGCACAAGGCTGAAGTTCAAACTCCATAAACTAAGGTCCAGTCTCCTTTGGATACAACGTGCGTGACTTCCTGCTGGTTTTCGTTTGACTGACATGTGCACATCTGTGACTATCGGCCAGTGTTGGTCAGTCGTGCCCTCGCAAGATGTCTCTTTTTCATCGTTAACTCGTTTTACAAAACCGTCTTTCGCCATTCAACAGAAAACATTCTTTAAACTTGTAAAAAATTGAAAGTCAAATCTCACCTGTGAGACATTGTTGAGTGAGGCAGTGACAAGTGTTACGATCGCACGATGTTTTGGTTGAATTGTTGCCTGTTCKTATCTCTATTCCTGCGACTTTCTTCAGGTAAGCTAATGTATATTTAATACCTTTATGGTTTATTAAGCTCTCTGTGCGTTTTSGTTATGAAGTTTGATAGAATTTAGTAAAATAAGTACATAATGCGAAATGTAATCTATTGTAATCAGCCATGCGTTGACCGTCAACAAGCGATTTGTGGCTTTCAGTTTTGCTTTCGTTGTTTCTAGATCTTTCAGTAGTTTCAGTATAAAAGGAGCAATTGTTATTGTTAGTGACTGATAATAATACAGTTTGAATGATTTTGCCTGGAAATGATATCCGTTGTGGTTAAAACAAAAATAATCAAAACAAGAACAGGTCAAAACATATATAATATGTGTGYTTTCAAATACGCTTCAGTTGAAAATTATCCAAGAAAAATAATTAATTTTAATAATGATTTAATTTCTATAGTTGAACATAAGAAAATTATAGTGCATGCTGTAAATATTTCTTCCCACCGGMCAGTTGGGCTTTTTTTAAGAATCTTTTTTTGAGAACCAAACTGTGAATTCTCAGTTGTTTATGCAAAGTGAGCGGTGTAAATGACGTCAAGTTCTGACGTATTTTGTAGATTTTAGCTCAAAATTAATGAGTAAAAACATTTAACATCGAGGTGTTTACTGACTCGTATCAGCTTGAATTAAATTATGAATTTTACAAAGGTGATATATTGTAGTTAAATGAATTTAAGGAGAAAAAGAACGCAAAAGAGTTGTTTTCAATCTTTCAAGAATGGTCATCATGATCAATGCCTTTCAATCATCATGACAAACATGCGCTGCGACGCAAAACATAATCTAATCAAACGATCGTTCCTCAGGTTTCTGTAACCCTCCCTGTTTTACTATCACACCTATAAGTCCTCTTCAAGTGACCCAAGGTGAAGCCATCATCATCAGGTGGAAATACTCAGCGAATATACCCCTACAGCTAGCGCAATGGGGCTCATTTGACAAAGATGGGAAAATCAARGTCTTGATTGCGCAAAAACATGGAAACAACAAGATTGAGTAYTTCTCGTCATACAAAGACAGGGCAAGCATTGAGAATGATAACTCGTCTTTAAGACTCCTAGACATGAAATCTGAAGATGCTGGTTATTTTGGCTGTACGTTTAAATTTCAAGGAGGGTATGAATTAAAAAACATCACAAGACTTGAAGTGACAAGTAGCAGCGGTATGTATCTTGAGGTCATCTAGTCTGTTTGTCGTGTCTTATCGTCAGTTGTGTCCAGTCACGTGCTTCGTGTCCCGCAAGGCGCCACGGGAAAGGAGGATAAATTTTCATCAGCCTTGCATTTATTTTTCTCTTACTGTAACGCATCCATCATTTTCGTAAATTCATGGATATATTCATCGCTTACAATTCTTATAATGGTCTGCCGAGAGCAATGTCGGGACGATGCCGGATATAGAACTCTTCGAGCTCGCAAGTATAATCCCTAGCAACCATAATCCCTAGCAACCATGGGTCTCAATAACCGCTTCAATTAGATTTAATTTTCAGGGAAAGATGCAACGCATGACCATCGTAAACTCTACTGGATCTTTGTAGGGGTAGTGCTTCTGCTCGTTGTACTTGTAGTCATCTACATTTACCTTGAACGCAAGAAACGACGTAAGTCCCGTTGTTTTCATTATACGTGCATGCAATGTTATCCATAGTGAAGCCTCTAGCTTTGTTTTATTATACTTTGGAGTGTTTTCACATTTTGACTTCAGTGGGGATGGGAGTAGGCCGGTTTTTTCATTGTTCGAAAGRGCAACACCGAATTGGAAACATTTTTTRAAATATTTTGTTACACCATGTAATGTTTTCCTTGTTATTTCTAGAAAAACTACGACAACAAAGGTTAGTAACGATTCAGAACTGAAGAAAACTATAAGTACCGCCATATAAAATGTTATACTTAGCAACATCAGTATGGGTCACAATCTTCATCACTCCAACGACGTGTCTCAAAACACCTAGTCATTGGCAAAAAAAAACAACTTCCTTCTAAGACTTTTTAAACTTATTTCTTATTTCAWTCGTCGCTATTTTTTTCAGTGTAAAGACGACAAGCCGGCCTCAATCTCATGTCTTGATAAACATGGTAAGTATTGACCTGTCAATCATTATTACTGTTTTTGTCATCACTATCATTTAGTAACATCATCCGTCARTATCACTGACAATTATAGAAACTCTCTTCACTGAAAATATCAAGTATCTTATCCTAGTCGCGTGCATGTATGTACCAATAGGCCAATAGGCCATCACAGCTAGGCCGGCTTCATCATAATCATTGTCAGCTTTATAATATATCGTGATATCATCGCCGAAGTCAGTTTGTTCTTAATTCTGTGTCCTTGTGAGACAGCWTGTAATCCCGATAATATGACTTTGAAATATTCGTTTACGAAAATTTGTATTATCATCCGCTAACGATAATCGTTCAAAATGCTTTTCCCACTCAGCCTTGTGTTGTGTACGGTTGTGCGAACTGTATTTAGGCCGATGTATTGAAATGCAYCTCAATAGTTTTTCAATAACATGTAACAATATCTCTATGTAGGAGGAACTCGATAGCGGGCATCTTACAGATAATGACGATAACTACCATATCATTCCACCAGTCGGATTCAATCCCGCGAATAGACAGTGGGAAATCCCGCGGGACAATATCGTTGTTATTAAGGTCATTGGTAAAGGAGCATTTGGTTTGGTTGCTAAGGGCATTGTACAGTTGGAAAGTGATACAAACAATGTGATTGTTGCTTTGAAAATGTTAAGAAGTACGTATTTTTTGCATTATAATATTTAATACTTTCATCGGTAGATTTAAATGTAGCCATCATATCCTTCTCTTGTCGTTCGTTTTCGCTAAAAACCTCACAAACTTATAAAGAGAAAAGAGAAAGAAATGATTAACCCTWGCCTTYTCGTGTGAGAATCTCATGTGATTTTACCCAAAAATTAAAAAAAGCCATTTTCACATTTTGTATTTTAGAAGACGCATCAGAGGAAGATAAACGTGATTTCTTAGCGGAGCTGGATTTGATGAAAACTCTTGATCACCATCCTAAYGTCATMTCGCTGTACGGATGCGTCTCAAAATCAGGTAAGACAACTKAAAAATACRTGTCAGTACTTAGAACTACCCCGTTATGTCACCTGTATGGAGCTCTTGTTTCTCTGTTGCTAAATGCATTACTCGGGCTGCCTAAGCCAGAATTCACTAAAAGTTGCATAATATTTTAATCAATGATTTATATAGTATTGTATAAAGCGTCCACATGTATATACTCAGCTTTATAATGACTGAATATTGTTTGACAATACATAATGATTCTATTAGAGCCATATTACATGATCACGGAGTTTGTTCCCTTTGGCGATTTACTGGGTCACCTTAGAAAGAGTCGCGGTCTAAAAGACACGTACTTCGATGATCCAGACATCAAACCTGTCAGCTCGTTGACGTCCAGGCAGTTATTTACTTATTCATGGCATATCGCAAACGGTATGGCCTATCTCTCGTCTAAGAAGGTTAGTCCGCTATTGTGCAGTTGGATAGTACAGAATCAATAATGGTCAGATAATCCTGGGACGAACGTTAGTGTGATTTAATATACTGTGCAATTTTTTGATTTATGCAAGCGCGCACGTTGGGTCATTATGAAACATTCAAAATAACTTATAAAGAAACCTTGCGAAAACTTATAAAGAGGTTGAAASGGAAGAAAGATGAAAGGGAAAAAAATTGAATGGGAAATGAAAGAGTCCGAAGAAGGAGGGAGAGCCTTAAATGTAAAGGAATATAATTAAAGGAAATTTCCTTTTTTAATTTCCTTTTTAAAAGGAAAATAAATCTTTTAATAACCATTGACTTCACCGTCTAGATTGTACATAGAGACCTAGCAGCAAGAAATGTCCTTGTTGGTGAAGGYGAAATGTGTAAAATCACAGATTTTGGTCTTGCTCGAGATGTACACCAGCAAAATGTCTACACACGTACTTCAAAGGTAGCCACGCTGAAATATGTGATCTGGCTAGTTTCAGAAGCCGGAAATACACTAAGTATATCATGATTTAGTATGGAAGAAAAAAATGAAATCATACGATTTTCCCCTAAGCTTTCTACCATGCGTGCACCCCAAAAATTCACCCGAAATCAGGTTGTCGCTACTGTGTCCCGGCCCGCCCATTGTGCAGTTTAAACAAGGCAGTTTTGCCGCGATTTTAGCGTCGAATGTGCGGCGATTTCATGGCTTGCAGCGAAATCCCTAGCATGTTTATATTTAAAGACGCGGTATGTATCTAGACAAAAATTTTGTTTATGAATACTAAACGTATCAATTTGTTTGAAGGGTCGTCTCCCGGTGAAGTGGACTGCGTACGAGTCACTTTTRTATGGTGAATGTACAACAATGAGTGATGTGTAAGTAGCATTCTGATGTAAACACGATCATATCAGCAATGAGCGCGCGCGATATATCTAAAAATTCTTATAAAATGTTATATGTATAGTCTTGGATTGAATATGGATTGTATACCTTTTTTAGCTGGAGTTATGGTGTAGTTCTTTATGAAATATTTACAATTGGTAAGTAAAAATAAACGAAATAAAGGGAAAGAAGTGAATGGGACATTGCAGTGAAAAMTCTTATACAAACGCACTGGACTCATATACAGGCCATACTTGCTTATTAAAAACTCTTGGATAAAATCATTGTGGAACCGACCAAGTTTTTATATTGTCAATGTTTTATTGCTGATAAATCTTTTACTACTCAGGTGGATCACCTTTCCCAAAAACTGAAGGCAAAGAGGTCGTTAGCCTTCTGCAGGAAGGTCAGCGTATGCCAAGACCAAAGCACTTGGACAAGGAACTGTAAGTAATTACAGGATGGTTTGTTAGTATATGATAACGCGAGGTAGTCRGTTTTCSCTGAGTTAGTGTGAGTTTACYAAACCTRCCTTGTAAATTCTCTGGGAACTGAGTAATGASATATTTTMATTATCCACAGATATGAAGTAATGATGGATTGTTGGCAAGAGAAACCCGACCAGCGGCCAACATTCGCAACTTTGAGGGAAAGAATTAAAGATATGGAGTCATTCCATGAGGTATTTGCATTGCTTTATCAACTTACTAAGCAAAAAACGACGGTTAAATATGCTGACAAGTGCGAAATTTTGAGAGTTATTTTATTTTTCTATGTTTTGTTTTGTCTTTCTTTGTAATAGTTTTTTATTATTACTCAGCAAAAGAGGGGCGCGGCCCCATCCCCCCCCCCCCCCCCCACACACACACACAAAGAAAAAGAAAACAAAACGATCCGTCCCTGTAAATCAACCAACAGATTAATGCTGGTTTTTATCTCTCATAGCGCTACGTCAGRCTTAGTGAATATGACTCCAAACTTTATGAAAATCTGGACGATCTTCAAGTTTGATTCAACTTATGTCAGTTGGATGACCTGTGGCTTCACTATAGAAACGTACACAATTCACCAGCGCACGACGAAATATTTTATATTGATTTGTAAATAATTTTAAATAATAATTTTGATAGCAATTTGTATCTAAAGTCAACTGTTTTAGAATGTATCTTATCGGTCTTTAAAAGACAAAAAATAGAAGTATTATAAGATAGATTCAAAGGATATTTTTAAAACGAAAACAAGGGGCCGCGGCTGCACAAAAAGASCACGTCACGGACAGCTTTTGTTCATTAGTTTAAAGACATTTAAAATAATATTGAAATAAAATMAAAATGGATTTTAAGAAATCACTTTGTGTCCCGTAATAACCTCGATCGACTCATAGCTGAAAATTCCTGTTTTCTTGTATAGTGGTAAGCTGTAAAATCCACAGTGTTCATCAGCTCATGAGGATGTCATGGCTGTTGTTTGTGATAAGAAGAGTGATTAATACATGATCATTCGTCATTTTGACATTGCGTATCCGATATGTCCAATCCTGTTTCCCAGTTGTATGAGGTCGTGTGGTACACACTMTGTTWCCCAGTTGAATKAGGTCRTGTGGTACATGCTCTGCATGCTCTAGCTASGTATATAAACTCTCCCCGGAACTCTCCGTTAGTCCATCTCTTTCTATAGATGCTCCTAGCTCAGCTCTGCACACATTTCATTCATTCCGCATTCATTCTTTATACTTATTACTATCAGGGTCAGYTCAAACGTCGATTTTTTTGTCAACAGTTCACGAGAAAAAAAATTTGACGTTTGCGGATTTAACAGTTACTGACAAAAGAGTTCCTGAGTTCTACTATAAAATTAAATTTGATATATGAAAAGACTGCCAAACGCTCATTAGAAGACAGATAAACTGAAAGCATCAGCATCTAGATGATTTTTTTTTATTTGTTTGTTGTTTTTTTTGGAGTTGTCKTTTTATTACTAACCGTGAAGGAAATTTTCACTTTAGATATGAAAGTGGTACTATATGCACTATGAGGGATCGAAAGGGAGTGTCTCGTGTCAATAAAAAAGGCCGACCACTTCTMCTAAAAATCTATAATAATCACTTTGATGATAGCTGTTTGTTACATTTGTACATACCTACTGTACTACTGTACTCAAGCAATGGATGACGTTGTATCGTGGGATCCGTTTTGAGTAGTTATGAGGAAATGATGTCATGACAAAAGCAAAAAGTCAAGATTCTTATTAAAATGTTTGGTGTTTTACGATGGACCTAGCTAGCTCTATTAGTGTACATTCAAAATTGGATTTATTCCGTTAAATAACTGTTCTTTTAGCGCCTTTTGTCTGTATAAGTCTTCCTTGGGCTTGGCCATTCAAGTCAAACAATAGTCCCTTAAAAATGTTAGGAATTTCAGCTTCGTATCACGTCTATTTTTATTATGCATCAATAAGTAAGTGACAAATCCAAGTCATACKACCCACTTTGTCAAGACTACTTCTTATGATTGGTTAATTTTTCAGTGATAGTTTCAAATATCCAATCATATCGCATTTTCTATATAGGTAATGAAATCTTTTTGAATGCAGAAAAGCCACGTGAGCTAATTGAGAGTTTTGATTGGCTAAAGCTGGTGAGCCCCAGTGTGATGCCGTTGAATGTGTTTCGATGTTTTCCAAAATTGTATATTCCGTCTGAAATAATGCTCAAATATTGCTGAATTTTTACTCATAACCCACCAGGAACTGATGCTATATATCCAAAATTCCCAAGATTAACGTTCTTGGTGTGAGAGTGTGGCTATGGGCTTGAAAATCTTGCTAAGCATCGTTTGGTTATCAGTTTGTGGGTTACCGCGGTTTGGAGGTACGTTTATCCACTAATGTCAGCTCACGCAAAATTATTGCAGATTTCAGAATAATTTATATGATTTTACTATAACAGTTACATCTTCTTTGAAAGATATATTTTTTTGAATTTATAAGGTACTCTTTTAGATTATCGCTTCAAAACTATCGTCCGCAGAGGGAAAATGTCTAGCTTAAATCAAGTTTGTAGCGTCTCAAAGAAGTCCCTCTCTCTTCGCTTCGTGTAAACCTACGGTCGTAAAGTTTGCGAACAATTTTAACAGATCGTGAAATTTTCGCATTGTGTAGTAGAGAAATTTTAAAACAAAACGCACACAATTCTTAATGTCCATGATTCCCAAAGCGAATATACCTTCTCTCTTCCTACATCGAACGCGCCAATATTATCATTGTTATGACTGTTTTCTTTTGTTTTCTGTGCTTTCTTATTCGAGAACAGTTTAAAGAGACGATACATTATAAGAGAAAGGAATAGCGAAGGCGTTTAGACTCTCGATCAAAACGTTGTCGTTTAGATATTTGATAAGGATAATTCGGCTCGATTCGCACGTACTTTGAAAGCATTCGCATAGTGGCTGCTGTTGTTTATGATAGGTGAAGTGGAAACGACAAAAAACTCAAAGCAAACGATTTCTCAACCTTCTCAAATAAATAAGTTATCTTTGTTTGATGTAAAGAAAAGCAAAACTTACAGTCAAATATCTAATGTCCTGGGTAAACACTTTATCGCTGGAGTTTGTTGATATACAAAATAGCAGTCAACCGAATTTATTATTGCCCAACGCTGATGTTAATTAGTTACCGTTGCCTCTCCGAGTTGTTACTCTTTTATAATCGTGTACAGAATTCTATGTGACGTTACGACAAATATTCATCACCTCCACTATATAATTATTAAACTTTTTGGATGGTAAACAATATTATTTAAGGATTAATATCAATATGGTGCCAGTAAAGATGTTTGCAATTTTTCAGATATGAAATTAGCATAATATGATGTACCATATAAAACTTTTGGTTACAAGTTGTGTCCATTAGGGTCAAGAATCCCCATGGATTCAAATTTTTCCGTGTACCTTCACATTCCAGCCACAAACTTGAGATATTTGCATGTGATACAAATCCAATGTACTGGAAATATGTGGATACACATTATCAAGTAAACTGTATACTTTCTGTTTTTTCTGTTTTGCTGTTGTAGTAGCACAAAAATATCATATATCTCTTATGTACTGTATCTAGTTTTAAAGATTGCTTATAGCTTACGCTGGAAGATCATGTGTGTTGAGCATATTGTATATGGTTTTTCAAATAGTTTACAAATTTACATTAAATAATCTCAGTCGCCCACCCTGCGCACTATTATTATTGTTTACATACGGAATATCGAAGTAATATCATGCTGTATGATTTTTTTTAAATCATTCCTGAAATGTCTTGTAAGAAAACAAATGACATTTATACTTTTATACTCAGATATTTTGTCATTCATACAAAACTATATGGGCTCCGGGTAATAGCTGGGGGTGCTCAGGTAGCAATGGAGTATCCCTAACAAGGACGTACCCATAGCAACTAGTCTACATGGCTGACACCTGTCATGTGCTGAACACTATGACCTTATTTCTAGACTTTGTTCTACAGTCAGCTACAAGGCATGTACATAGTGCATATGGTACTTTTAGTTAGTCACTATGACTATCAATGACCACAATTTAGAATATTCTAGTTATTTCCATATCCAATACAATACTTCTAAGGTAAAAATGTAAACAATCAAACCAATAATTTGTATTGCCATTAATTGTGTCCATCCTTTCAGATTGTGTACCAAAATGGGAAAAAACTGATCAGAACAATAAGCCTTATAATGGTCAAAAAGTGTACGCCGACCGAGATTCTTCATTTACTTTTGATTGGCGGTTTGATAATAATGGCTACAGTCGACAGTATACAAAATGGGAGTTTTCTCGAAGTGGTATAAGTGGTTCAAAGGTTGTTGCTACCAAACAAGGAGGAGAAACTCCTGTAGAATTTTCACCTTACAAAGATAGACTGATCTTTGGAAATGGGGCCTCTCTAGAAATCAAAAAACTTAAGTATCCAGATGACGAAGGAAGATATGAATGTGATCTGACTTTTTCATCTGGTGGAAGTGGTGCTAGTTTAGATGATGTTGCAGAGCTAATAGTTGTGGGTAAGTAGCTTAAATTAAAAATATTTTTTACATGGGAGCAAAGTATATATTATACATACATTTACTAGGAAGCAAAACTTTTATAATACATATTTTCAAATTAAWTTTTTTTTCTCCTTAGTCATTAATTATTAAATAATTAAAAACATTCATGTTCATTTTAGTTCCACCAATAATCACAGGCAAGATTTCTGGTTCAACTTTGACAATATCGGAGCAAGAAACAAKAACATTGAAATGTTCAGCTAGTGGTAATCCCAAACCAAGAATCATATGGAAAAGAGAGAATCTAGAGACCAAAGCCATTACTACTGTAATGGATAGTTATAATCACTATGGATACAATATTACATATGCTCAGAGGAAAGATATAGGGTTGTATACTTGTGAAGCTATTATTTCAGTAAATGGAGGCAAAATATTCCACAAAGCATCTTATTCACTGACTGTTTATGTTAAATGTAAGTTGTTGCCTTGTTTATGATATATATAATTTTTCTATGTAATATGTTTATACTTGGTTACAAGGACTTATATGTACACGATCATCAGGCTACTTATCTTAGCTGATATAATGTGCACTTTGCACATTTATACAAAAACAGATTGAGAAACTGCATTAACTAAACTGACACTTCTTTTATGTGCATGTATTTTTTACTCTAAAGCAGTTTGCATCATCTTGATAATTTGTGATATTTCCTTCTTTGTAATTGCACTTGCAAAGCATGAAAGAAGTAAGTTTTACATATGTTTATGTTTTCAGACAAACCTGAAGTAACCTACCTTACAGGAAACAGAACGCTCACTGAAGGAAGTAATGTAGAACTTGAATGTAAAGCAAAAGGTGACCCACAAGTTATAGGCTATCACTGGTATAGAAGCAGTTTTCACTCTTCCTCAAAACTTTCAAGTGGAGGAAAATATACCATCACTACTGAATCAAATTTTGAAAAATCAAACTTGGTGATTAAGAATCTGGATAAAAGTGATGCAGATTGGTATTATTGTGGTGCTGAAAATTCGCTTGGTATTGGCAATGCATCAGAGACTTATGTCACTGCACGATGTGAGTATATAGTCCATCAAACTAAACCATATTGCTTGAAATATAGTGTTGAATAAAAACACAATGTAATGTAAGTTTTGAACAAAGCAATATCTTTCAAGGAAAATAGAAATCAAGCAAAACAATTCTTTTCATTTCTTCTGCAGTTGCCCCAACAAAAGTGGAAATAACATACATACCCAAACAAGCTGTCAATCTCAGTCAGGCAGTCACCTTAAAGTGCATATCAGATGGAGTACCTAACCCTTCCTTTACATGGAAGTTTAAAGGAAATGAACTGGACTCAAATCTGCAAGTAAAAGATGGGAACAACAATGAATTTGTAAAGATTGCCAAAATGACGAGAGAATTGGCAGGAGAATATACATGCAAGGCATCAAATCCAGAAGGGGATAGCTCTACTAAAGGCATCTTGAATGTCAATTGTGAGTATTGCTGTGAATAAAAGTCCATATTGCAATATTATAGTCCAGTTCTTTTGTCTTGCTCTTGCTAAATTGTTATATGATGCTTAACATAATTCTTTAACAATGTTTACTGTTTTTTTCCATTGCTCATTATAGATGTAATTATTTGTTGTATTATTTTGCATTTTTTATTTATTCTTTCCCTTTTTCACCTCCCATTTCCATTCATATAACTTTTGATTTCTTGTTCCATTCTTGTTCCATACATCATATTATGATGAGTTTCTTTCAGTTTTATTTTGTCACTAATTTTATTCCTTTTGGAACCTCTTTTCTAGACAAACCAACAAAAGCTTATTTTGAAACAGGACTTCCCAACCTTGGATTATTACTTAACTCACAATCCAGTCTAAGATGTGAATCAGATGGTTATCCCAAACCTCAGTATATCATAAAGAAATTCCAAGGGAATACATTAATACAGACATTCAAAGACAAAGACCGTATTGAATTCCAATCTGTAAAGTTAGATGATGAAAAGTTTGAATACACTTGCACTCCTTTTAACTTCCTTGGTCAAGGGCCAGAAACGGCGAAAGTCAAAGTAACTGTTATTGGTGAGTTTGAGTCCATAGGTGTTTTTATTTTAAGGTTAAATTGTAATTTTRCAATGAATTAAACTAAAACTGCTAGAAAATGAATTCAAATATCAAAAATGTAGGGTTTATGTAAWGAAAGAAAAAATATAGTGGTTTCAAAATTTATGTTCAATCAAATTTACAATTTATTAATAACGTTAATTGACTATATCAAAATGATCTCCAATCAAGCAATTGATTATTTCCTTGACAATCATCAGTGCTTCTTACTGGTTCTGTTTGTTCTTCTAGTTCGTCCAAGCTTCATTGTGGGWCTTAAACCAAGTGATAARCTTACAAAAACAGAGAATGATACCCAGAACTATACTTGCATTGTTGATGCTAAACCATTTGCCACCATAAGATGGTTTGTCAATAATGAGAATGTAACTGATGATACACCAAAACTTGGTACACCTGTGATGTTCTTTAAAGCTAGCCAAGATAATCCTGGACARTCAAGGACAGAAAGTACATTGTATATAAAGTCTTTATCTTGGAGGCAAGATGGAAATATATCTTGTGTTGCATCAAATGGTGCTGATCCTGTGAAAACGCATACATTTTTGGAAGTCAGACGTAAGCGAACAACTTTGAACTATTCATAATAAAAGTCTAAAACATTAACAGAAATGATAATGTGAAAGTGAAATAGATAGGTGAAATAAGCATATGACTGGATAAAGGAAAACCACATTGATCTTTTGAAAAGTAATTTAAAATGTTTATTTGAATTAGATCSTCCTGTTGTAAAGAATCCAGAGGAAGTTCCCAACAACAAAACTGTKAATAATGGAGATGATGTTACATTTACGTGTTTTGCTGTCGGCAACCCTGCTGTAGAAAGCTATAAGTGGAAGTTTAAGCAAGAAATCATCTCAGGTGCAACGTCTAGGACTTACACCAGAAGAAATGTTAATCCTAATGATGTAGGGAAATATTCTTGTCTTGGTAAAAACTCACTTGGTGAAGGACCATGGTTCCCCATTGACTTGTTCATCAAAAGTAAGTCTACAACTACCTTTATATTTATAAAGTTAAAAAAATTATTTGTTATAGGATACTATTCATTAACTTTCTCAATATCTTTATAGCCCGAGCTAGAATCACAGCTAGCCTTCCAGTGGAGGCGAATCCAGATAGCCATGTTGTTTTGAAATGTTCAGCCTCCGGAATCCCAAAGCCTKTTATCAGGTGGTATAGAGAAAATCGATACCTTGGCATTGGCGAAAAGCTAAATCTTTACAATATTACATATGAAGATAGAGGGCCTTATGAATGCAGAGCTAAGAATGAATTGAATGAAGACAAAGCTATTGTTATGCTTTCTATACGAGGTATTGTTTTARATTAACATGTGCATTAATGGTATACACAATAATGCAGAATAATGACAACCTTTAAAATAATTCTATACTTTTAGTWAAACCCAACATCACATCAAATAAGCCCACTTACACCCAAGTAGCCGGCGTGATTGGAAACGATAGTACATTGCACTGCAAAGTCATTGCAACGCCTCCTGCATCCATTTGGTTTACAAGGGGAAATGAGAATACTGAGTTAAAGACATCAGATGAAAGAATCATATCTATCAGTTCATCAACTTCAGAAAAATCTTTAAAGTTAAAAGTAAGCATTATTGGAGAAGTGTACTATTGCCATGCAAGAAATATCATGGGTTCAGCTAAGCAAAAGTACACCATCAGAGCAGTAGGTAAGAAAGTGAAAATGAAAAATGAATGGGATAAACTATTATGAGCTGCTTCAATGTTTCAGACTAATAAGGGCAGGCCTACAGGAGTGCTGCATATTAGCATTAAATGCATTGCAGTGTAATAAAAATATTAATAATGATGATAATAATGATAATGTAGATTATAATGATGACGATGATGATAATAGCGTAATAATGAATTAACAAATGATATAGGGTATACCAGAGAATAGCAGAAAAAAAGTAATCTGTATAGATTAATGAAAATCGATAACTAAATATAATTATTATGATGCTGTAGGTAAACCAGACCCACCAACCGATCTAAAACTATACACCATCAAGACAGCGTCTAAGCGTACTGTTGATGTCAATGTTACGTGGGTTGCTGGATACAATGGCGGCTACTCTCAGTTTTTCACCATTCTCTACCGGCTATTTACTGCAAATAGTTTTTCCACAATAGTACTTGAAACTCCTGATGCTACGAACTTTGTGATGAAGGATCTTAAGCCTTCAACTAAGTATGTTTTCCAACTCACTGCCAGAAATAAAAGAGGTCAAAGTGATCAATCGGTTATGAARGTCTACACCACTCAAGGTATTCAAATCAATATAATACATGGAATTAAGCAACCACATTTACTTCTAGAATTGGCAGTTTATCGCTATTTAATATTTTAGCACAAAGTACAACTTCTCACAGATAGGTTTTGGCTTTTTGAAGACCTATTTTATCTGTTATAGAATGGAGAAAACACTCAGTGCAAAGGAGAAAACAGTCTTCCAAACTCAAATCATACATTATGATCGCAAATCARAAATCATGGGACCTCAGCCTTGGCAGACTATCGTTTGCTTACAGTTCACTGATCTTTCKTACATTTTCATAAACAGTTGTAACGTGATACAATATTTTCTTTCTATGTATTACAATTGATTTATAAACTGTTTTAATACTCTTTTGTTTTGTTTGTTTTAGCATCAGCTCTACCTCCAGCAAGAGGGACATGTAAGTGATTAAAACTAATAATAAAATATGTTATCATCATTATAATCGTTCAATATATATATCTAATATTTCTAAAACCCCGTCACCTTTTCAGTAAGACATATTTTTGTTAAYCTGCTTCCAGTGACAATAAAGAGAATACAAGGGGGGACAGTAGTCCGYATATCATGGACCGCTCAAAGTAACGTTACTGCCATATACATACAGTACCGTGAGGTCAAATTGATGAAGAGGGCTCGTCGAAGTACCGTAAATTATGAGTATGGAAGATGGAATAACGTAGAAGGTGCACAAGGACTGTCCAAAGATAGGGGGAGTTTCGATGTGGTCAATCTAGACGCAGATAAGATTTATCAGTTTCGAGTGTTTTTCAAGGTTGGAAATGAAATTGGATTTAATGAAAAAATGGCCGTTCTGTCGGAGATAAGTAAGTTCTGACTTGTCACCATGAACTCTATTTATTCTTTTTGTTCATTTTCTCATTCATTCATTTATTCATTCATCCATGCATCTGTTCTTCCATGCATCCATCTTTCCATTCATAAATCTTTTTTTTCAGCACATTTTTTTCAGTAAATATAATTGTTTAATRCGATATTTTGATTTACCATTGGTGTTTTTGCACTTGAGCTGAGGTCAGCGTTAGGGATGTTTTAATCAAAATTTAAGACTTGAAGTAGCTAGAGACASCTTGCTTTATTTTCACCCCATGCATTTTATTCCTTTAGTTCAGCCTCTTATCAAACCTCAAGAAAGAACAGGACTGAAAGAAGATGAACTGATTGCTATTATTGCAGCTGTTGGTGGATTTCTTCTCATCGTCATTGTAATTGTCTGCTTGTGCTGCTTCATGAAACGCAAGAAAGGCTATGGAGGTAGACTGGTTACTAATAATCATGACCATAGTGATGATAGTGATGAATAAAGCGATGCTGCTGTTCATTTTGATAAAAACGAGAAAGCAATGACACATTTTCCTTGTTTGAAACCCTATTATTTGTTGCTTTACAGCTGATTCTGTACAGATGTCACAGACGGGAAGGTAAGAGTGACTCTTTCTGTAATACGAAATGCAAAAGACTTGTAAGAAATGTAAAAGATTTAACAGAACTCCATTCTAGATTCATTTTAGGGCCTATTAACTTTCCTTTTTATCTTAGCGCGCCAAATCTTTTGTCAAGTGTCTATGACACTGGCACCCGTGGTACAAATCGTCGTAGCTACGCAACTTCTGTAGAAGACGATCCATTCATTGATGCACATATCGCCAATGAACTGAACAAGAAAAGAAGACCAGCAGAGAATGGAATCAACCATGGCTACGCCTCGCAAGGTATGATGGTTATAAGTGACGTCATTAGTGATAATATAGGGCAAAGTAAGCGTCTGACTATATGCGTCCCAGCATGCCTTTGGCGTTCTTTAATTTGCATGTCGCTTTCATTATTGGATTACCATGACAGTTTTTGATGCTCATATTACCATCACAATTTCATATTGCGGGTTCCCTGTGGTTTACGGAGCGTACAACACCTGAAGGAGGCTTGGTGCATGAATGGAAGTGAAACAGGAACCCCAAAACAACACGTTTGTATTGTTTTCACTGAATCCTTATGCGAACTCATCTTCTCAACGCTTCTTATTTCTCTGTCTTCCTCTTAAAACACTAAAACAAAGTTACAAAAACGACTTCACGGGGTATTTTCACTGCATAAGCCTTCTTTTAATTTCCCGCTTTGCTTGTAAGATAACCACCATGTACCACAGGCAGCAAAATCAATTTTTGCAGTTTTTAAAGCTAAGTGCATGTGTAYTATGCATCTAAATGTCACTTTACAAGCTTCTAAACTATGGAACTTGACAGAACCGGATAARTTAGTTGTTTTGGCTAGCAAGKAAAGTTTAGCAATTTTATTAGTTTGCTTGATTTTTACTTACAAAATTTAAACCCATAGGCTCATYAAAGCTTTCTGTCAGGTTTTATGAAAAATATTATTCTTATAATCACTATATGCACATTAACTCATTATAAAATACCAGATCTGCACTTCTCTTGAATCTTAACGGAGTAGCTTCCATTCATTACATTCCTCTGTGTTGAACGTTGCCCAGAATCATTTCCCCGGCAAGAAATCCTTCTAAATCCTGGATCACGCTCAGGTATACGAACTGGAATGAGTCAAAGTGTTGGTGAGCTTGGTGGTAGGACGTCAAGTTACTCATCGACGGGACCGCAACGAGACTTCTCCACACTTCCCCCTTATCACGAGCCTCCTTCATTTGAGGAAGCCATACGACAGTCTGTCAAAAAAACAAAATACGCTGCCTTATCAACTGGTGATCTCACTGAAGAGCCAAGGGTCCGTAATGGTCGATCGCGCGGTGCCAGAACATCAGATAGCGATACAAGCGATTCTGAACCTCCTTTGAATCGACGACCCATGTTTAAAGTTAAGCCACCAGTACCTCCTATTGACAAAAGGTATAAATCTGCGCCTTCTATACCACCGCTTGTCAGCCCCGTTAGACCAGGTCCTCCTCCGAGGGGACCATCTGCCTCGTTTGCACGTCCACAGAARAAAGGTAAATTCATCGCAAGAAATTGAAACGATATATCAGCTTTTACTTAGTGAATTCAGAATGAGATCTTGCATATGAATAGGTAAAGAAATAAAAAATAAAAAAAATAAAGAAATAAAGCTGTTCTTAGACAATAATGGTGATTTTAACGATTTTTTAGTTACATTAGTAACTACTTGTCGATCGTAATCTGCATATCTTATTAACATCACTAAATCATTAATAAAATCAAGTCCAATATATAACGAATATAATACTTGATGTTCTAGTGCCGTTCAATGAACCTGTCGATGTGTTTGGTTCTCCTCCATGGGAATACATTGATCACAACTACCACGCTAAAGCCTCAAATTCTGGATGTTAGTATTCACTAAACTTACTAAACACTTAATCCTAAATGTTATTTAAGCTACCCTACTCCGCCGTTGGTCTCTTGGACTTTCTCATTCCTTGGTCTTATACAGGAAGCCCACAAAGGGTTGAAAGCGGAGAGGTTGATATGAATACTGATTAAATATATATGTTAAAAAATTGTCATTATAAAAAGAGCATAAGGTCCGCTAAATTTGATCTAAATTCTCGTTTTTTGAAGTCCTAAGCAGAAACACATTGCAGGTGTTTTGATTTCCTTTTATTGAGAACTTAAGTTTACTTATAAAAGTCACTTCAATAAACGTCCATTGTTTTGGTTAAAACGCGTTTGTAATCTCTTAAAATCAGTTCAAATCTAAAGTCAATTAAACTCCTCAGTGGTAGAGATATTGGAATAGTTTTAGCGCTAGGTCCAGTCATAGTTCTGATATGTAAAGTAGTGTATTATCGTATAGGTAGATAAAGTATGTTGATAACAGTTGTGTATTACACAGTKTACACCTAGTGTTGGTAGATGAAATAAAGTATACAACAACAGTCAGTGTAGTTGAGTTTGATTTTATGATTTTTCTTGCTCCTCATTCTTCTCCCTTTCYTTTTCTTTTGACTGAACCTGGCTTATCGCTCATTATGAYCGTACCTCGMCCTRGAATGACTTGTCCATGATACGATCAATCGTAGTATCATTTAAGATTTTACAAAGGGAGTTACGTTTTGTCCAGGAAGAGGTAGTTGTAGTATTAGATTGAGTACGTGTTAGACTACAGATGCGTCGTAGAACAGATTAATTTCATATTTATCTCTGTTTTATTTCACGGACTTAACGATCTCTATTACATCAAGTAATGCTAATTATAAACCATCTCTTTAGGGCCTCCACCATCTTATACTGCTGAAGATCGCGCTGTTATTCCTGGAATGGAGGACGATTATGAACCTCGTGTCACTAAACGAAGACCAATTGCTGATGATGTCATGGAATTACAGGAGCAGCCGAGTTACCATCGTAACGACCGATTACCCGACCTTCCTCCGAGTATGCCCGAGTTTTCCCGAAGTCGGAATATGCACAAAGAACCATGTAAGTCTGTATGAATCACTAAAAATATTTGGAATTCGAAGTTTTGAATTGCGTAATGTTTTTGATACAGTAGGCGAAACTCTTCCCGAACCRCCATCATTTCTTCGCGACCTCTCATACGAGGAGGATGAACCCGATGGTCGCTACACAAGGTCGTACACCGAACCTAGAAATAGGACTAAACAAGTAAGACTAGWTTTTGATTTTCACTTGTTTTCTTCATCATTTAGTCAGAAAATGAAAACGTATTCAAAACAGGCTAAGAATGCGGAACAARGTTTTCGTTTAGCTTCATTTTGTTTATCTTCGTGTTCTTTTTTATGATTCCAGCCATATGTGAATATCCACGGACAGCTAGTGAGACCGAACTCACCAGGTAGACAACCGACCTACGGATCCGACCGACAAGAACCCATTTACGCCAATGACCCACCCCGACTTGTAGCGGCTGAGCCCGAGGTACCTGTTGAACGCAGAAATCGACAACCACCTGGCAACAACGAGCACAAACCTGGTTACGTCAGTAGTGGTTTTCTAGTGTAACATCACATGACTTCAATTAAGAGTCACGTRGTCGTTACGAATTTGGCCAGTGACATTCTCTTTCGTGAAGAGATCAATTGCCAAAATAATGCAGCAGGACCATTTAGAATACATCTGATCAATTCACGAGTTCTCCTTTGATGCCTGATTTGAATGAGAATTAAGATTTTGATCGTAAGTAAACCCTAGTTCRAACTCATTGTGTTTGTCGACCACATCAAAAGGAACTCCAAGCTTTCGTTATTTAAAWGTTAAAATTACTATTTCGCGACAAAYACAAACAGGGAAGTAGGAATATAGATTTTGTCCATTTTAGTGTACTGCTGTTATTTAACCCGTGCTTTGAACCTGGTCAAATGATGACTCCATGCGATTGTTCGGACCCATGGAAACGTTGCACAAAGTTTTAACAACGTTATTCGTTTTATGAAGGCTTATTCAGCAGATATTGATCGATAACTAATGTTTATCCGATGGATAACATCATTCTTACAACCGCGCATTTCATAAACTTGATTGGCCTCGCCTAGACCAAAAGAAAACTATTTCTTAAAGTAAAGGGCAGTAATGTTTTCTTAAAATAATTGATAAAATAGATAGATTGATTAGAATTGTACAATACATTAATAATAGTGTATAATATTGATAACTGAATTGAAACCATCTTCGGAAAACGGCTGAGACTGGWWAAYCCTCCAGAGTACCAAACCCTTCGCCCTTACTGAGCAGCCCTTAGCCCCTGGTTTCCGAGGATGGACTTGTTTTTAGCGTGTTAGTGTTCGATGTCTCTCTATCTTCTAGTCGTTTCGAATTTTATAGATGCTTACATTCACCAGTATTATTAATAWTAAACTTTCGTGTATTCAGGAAGTCTGATTTGTACTATAGGCTGAGTTCAAACGGTAGACTTGCCAGTAATGGTCAGACTTGACTTTATGAGATTTATCATGGTTTGTAATAGAAAACCGTTTTAGAGCAAAGTCTCCGTTTGAACTGAGCCTCGGTTTATCTTGACACTTTATTGACATTACGTAGATTGTACAGTAAATATGACGTTGCAGTTATAGTTCATAATTACATAAGTTTTTAGATAGAAAAAAATGGTAAAACTGAACTCAAATTATGATCGTCAGTAATCAGTCTAATTTAACTTCGATAGAGCGCCTTAAAATGTATGGGATGTTCTCAATGGGTATGTAAATATGTACCTTCAAGGCTTAGCTCAAACGTCAAGATTTTGATTAGTCAAATAAAGAAAGTCGACCAATGAAAATGTTGACGTTTGACTTTGGAACTGATGCTGTGATTCACTTTCGAATGATGCGTGAAACGTTGAGATAAATCAAAAGTCCGCCTTTCTTAATAAGCTTAATATTTTTGTAAAAGTGTCTTCAATGTGAAGAATAAGAAATCCAGTTTTGCAGTTATTATTTTAAAGTGTATAACGAATTGAATTTTCATCTTAATACTACAATAAACTATATTTATCGATATGCTGTGTTCGCTTCATGCAAATATCCCGGGGGGACTCCCTAATATCAAAGGGCGGGGGTCCTCGTCGGAAATTCTGAAAATGACCTCTACAAGGGACCTCTATTGTGAGATGATGGGCGTGGCAGTGCTGAAATTTCACCCCTAAGAGTGACCAATCAATAACAGATCATTTTGTTTTGGTTTCCCGATTTTATTTGCGTTTTTGCACAATCATCGAACACCGTCAGCTCATATTGAGTTTATGACGACGTTGCCATTTTATGACGGCTTAGGGTCGTCGTATACGCTAAAAGGAACCACAAAACTCGGTGGAAATTCTCGTCATTATCACCCTAATCGCGACCAAAATCACCTATTTCAAACCCTGAAGGGACGTCGAGGACCGTCGCCCGCCCTTTGATATTAGGGAGTCTACTTCTTTCCCAGTCTCGTACATCGAGAAACTTGCTGTGTTTTAGGACTAGTGTTTATTACCTATAATCGACTTTCCCAGGGTGTCTCCGTAATAAATCGATGCAAATTATTAGACAATCTATAAATCCAGGGCTATAATTGTTTAAGAAGGCACCCCACGAAGTTAAGTAACATGTATAAAAAAAATGCAAACCATACAAACAATTAAGGTTACATAAAACTCGCGTGTCAGCTGCTTTCGTTCTGTACTTTTTCTATCGTGTTTAATGTATGAAATGTTGAACGACAACAGGGAGACCATCAGCCCCTAAATTGCTGCTGGTCAGTATCGCGCTGACTCGGGTTTCCGCGAAGATGCATAAGGCAGTATTATTATGATACTTTTGTCAACACATCCCTTCATTTGCATTTGGAAAGCATAGAATTTCTCAAAATGAAACCGAACTTCTCCTTTGTCAACTGGCCCGCTATGTTTTTCTTTGCTGATAGGCTTTTGAAACTGAAGAAGAAAACCGACTCCTTGGCCCCAGAAAGCAAAACATCAAAAGTGAAATGCGTTCTATACTAAGTGTCTTTTAAAAGATTAAGTCAAATCTACGCTAATATCTAAGGAAAATCTTTAAAGTGATTAAAATTGTAAATAAATTTTTAAGGCAAAAACTTTTCGTGTTACAGTAGGAGATATGCATGGTACAATTTTATAATTACAAATTATAATTAAATTTTTTTTATAATTGAAGAAGAAATAAACTGAATGAATATAAAAAAAACTAAATGACGATAAATTAGTGTTTAAGTCTTTTGGCGCTTTTAATTTTGATAGAATCAATGAATGATGCTATAAAAAAAGACAACATCAAACAATCAAGCAAAAAAGATAAATATTGTATTAAAAAAAACAGACCACTACCGTACTGTGACTCGAACCCATGACAAAAAGTTCGAAAAAGGTTGGGACGATTCCCCCGAGACATTCTGTGAAGCTGAGGCGTCGAATCGATTTACATTCCGGTTAGAGATTTCGGCTCTTCCATGCTATCCCGATAATTAGTCCTAACTTCGCGCTAACTAAAAAGCCAGTGAGGGAGAAGCTATCCGGCCCCTAGACACTGATGGATAACCCCTTGCACTAACTAGGCAACTATCGAAAATATAATGTCAAATTGGGGTCGTCTATTCGGCGAAAGTGCCAAGTAGTCTATTATTATGTAAATGAGCTTGGTCCAGTGGCGCAAACGGTTAAGGCGCTGTCAGTTCAATCCAAAGGACCAGGGAACGAATTTGAGGTACTAGTGATTGGTAAGCTATTTTTTTTATTCTTTCATCAATGTTTTCAAGGAAACAGTGTTATTCTAGYTCTCATTATTTTCTTGTTATTATTATCTTTCATTTTTAACATGAATTTCATTTTTCATTTTTTCTTCATAGTCACTTCCATGGCTGTCAGCATTTTTCACAGTCATTTCCATAGACTTACGCATTCCGTGTACAAAGGAAGATCTTTCAATTTCTCTTTCTAGCTAGTATCTAATAACAACATTAAATTTTATTGTCCGTACTTGGTAACTCGAAGATTGCTTTGTTATTTTCTGATTCATCACATTGATTTTATAGCGTATTTCCGGTACTAATGACCGGAAGTGTGATGGATGTATTGTCCACCCTGTGACGTCATGGTGGTGTTACTCTAGCATCGCACGATCACCTCAGCATGCGATTGTTCAAGTTTCTCAAGATGTAGTTTGCCTGTTTGAGGGTTTATTCTGCTGTATTATTTATAATCTGGACAAGTTTGGGTGCTCTTGAATTAGCTCGAGGTAAGATAGGCACTTCTGTATTGTTTTGTTGAAATCGAACRATAAAATAAGCATAAAATTAGATGCAAATTAGTTAAGCGGACCACTTTTACGACTGGAATCAAAATGTTCGTGCTCTTTTGGAAGTTTTTGATTAAAGGTATTTAAATCTGTTGTCCAAGTTTTGAGTCGAATAAATGCAATAGCTCTCCTATCTGAAACTGCAAAATACTGCATTCTTGACTCTTGGCAAAAGTTTGAAATTTACCTCCCTTGTGTGTGATTTCTCTTGTTTCAGCTGGTTTCAGCATATCTTTGGCATCGGGCTTAAATGTTCATTTGTTATGTCGTTGACTTTCTAATCTAACAAAATATCTTATTCTTTCTAGAGGAAATGGACGCAGTATTTTATCATAACCTCTTGGCTCTATTTGTCTTATGTTGTATGTTTGTTGTTTATGCGTCAACTCAAGGATGTAAGTACCGTGCAAACTTTATTTAAGCTTATAGTGAAACAAAAAACGAAACATTTCATAGTTTTAGCCAAAGATGTTTTGAAACGTATAATATTTTATTTGTATTAAATTTGTAATGAATAATGCTGCAAGATTTTGTATCACTTAACATAAGATAATCCAACTGGAGGCATAACATGTTGTATAGAATTGATTTTGTACAGTTTTTATGCRAGAACATAAGACCAAAGGTCGACTTATGATTGTGTTTTTTTAATCTAAGGACTTTGTCTTCACTTTTAGGGACATATTAATCTCACACGTAGCAAGATTTTAAGCACATTTCACTTTAATGTCAGAATGCGAAAGAACATGTATGCTCAAGCTATGTATACATGGTATATGCTAAATATTTATATCTAGGCCTTAGCTTAGCTGAGGCTTTTATGTTTGCGSATATTTTCAATTAGTCTTTCTACCAGAAGTTTTTTTCTACAATTTCTACTTTTCGAATTCAACAACTGGGCTGAGGTAGTTTCTTTTTTAATAGATCCTCCAACATTCATCACAAAGCCAAGTAATACCACAGTTAAAAATGGTCAAAATGTTGACTTCAAATGCAAAGCGACAGGATTTCCAGTTCCAACAATTACCTGGTATAAAAAAGGAGTTGTTGTGAGGCAATTTATGCTGCGCCACTATGTTGGAATGTTATTTAAGACTCTGTATATTATGCCTGCTTACTGGTCAGATGCAGGACAAATCACTTGTGAAGCTTCAAATCAGTATGGAACTATCCGCGCAAATGCTTATTTAAGAGTTGTCACTAGTAAGTATTGGTATTATTTYTTATATAATTATTAATGATTAATCTTAATGTGGTAACAACATGCTTAATTTTTGTTCTGGTGAAGTCATTACAGCAAGTTTTTGGTAAATAATCAGAGACAAAGGGGTTCAACTGTATCTCCTTGTATTTAAGGAACAAAGCCTACCTGGCGTATAAAACCCAAGAATGCTACYTTATATGTTGGGCAGAATATCAAAATACCTTGCAAGGCCAATGGTTTTCCAGAGCCAACATATAAATGGACAAATGCTGATATGTCACTTGATTATGATCCCAATATTTCATTCTCTCCTACTGGTGATATGGTTTTTGCATCAGCATCTATGGTGCAAGCAGGCAGATATACATGTAAAGCTACTAACTCAGCTGGCAGCATTTCAAAATCTATCTCTATCAAGGTTGTACCAGGTATGGAAAYAATWCAAGTCTCATTCACAGTTCCCGGTGAAAGGTAGCTATAACTACTTTGCATTGAAGCAAGGCGACCATTGAACGAACAATTGTAGATACCTGTGAATGATAGTAGCTGTAGGAGGCAAGAAGGCTCCTATCATTGTGCATCCAATAATTGTCTCACTTTGATGCAAAGGCAGGGCTACCTTTCAAGCTAAAACAGAGGAAACAATAGATCATTTGTTTGTWTTCATTTTGTTTCTTGACTTCAATTCTTTATTGTGCATGACCATTCAACCAGCATACCAAAAATGGACTATTGTTCTTAGACARTGTCATTTAAGCCTGATAATTGCATTAAGTTAGAGTCATTTAAACCAATGATCATTAAAATGTTATATCCTTAGATCCATCCATTATAAGAAATCCAAAAGGTATTGTTGGTGTCATTGGACAGGAGATTTTCTTTCAATGTATCATTGCTGGTAGCTCACCAACTAATGTAACTTGGCAGAAGGACGGCAAAACTGTCAAAATAGACTCTAGAAAAATTCAAGATGTCAAGTTAGATGTTGGAGACGTAAAAAAAATGCTACACACTTTGACTATRAACCCAGCAATATCCACTGATGCTGGAATATATAAGTGTGTTGCAAGTAATAAAAATGGCATTGAAACAAGCAAAGGAGCGAATGTCAGTTTTTCAGGTAGGTGGAGGTGGTAGATTCAACAAGACRCTCCATGGTAGCCAAGTATTGCAATGTCTAAAAATATTATTTAAAACTATTTCAGGTTCCCCTATAGCACCTACAGTTCAGTTGCCAAAGCAAAAAGTCAAAGCAACAATCAAAACAGATGTTACATTAAAGTGCACTTTTATTGGTGTACCATTACCACAAATAACATGGCTGAAAGATTTAGGTGATGCAGTCATCACATTCAAAAAAACTAAGGGTAACCCTATTTCTAGAGAAAAGGTGGAGTCAACTTTTACCATCAATCATGTCTCAAATACAGACCAAGGGTACTACCTTTGTATGGGACATAATAATGCAGGTGTTGCTACAGGGAATATCACCCTTGAGGTTCAAGGTTTGTAAAAACATGTGATAAAATACTTGTCACTCAAACTGAATAAGTTTGTCTTGAGTTGTTTCTCCTCTTGTTCTTCTTCATTTTCCATTTGTTCAAACATGCATCCATGTCCACCTAGCCTTTGGATCTTCTGTCCATTTATACAGTACTATACCCAGTATTATTTTTTATGTGTTCTCATCTATTAGCCAATCATCCCATTTATTGTCATACCATTCTTATAGCTGATCCAAGGAAACCASAAGGAATCCCATTCAAGTCTAAAGTAACAGCCATGASAGGCACAAATGTAACATTGGAGTGRAGATTTACAGCAAATCCACAGCCAGAAATCACATGGATTAGGGATGGACACAAACTAATTGACACATCAGGGCAGAAAATCATTAATGARACTTACAGAGCTACATATACATTAGCAAATGTAGACTTTAATCACACAAARGAATACACATGCTTGGRGCAGAACCCCCATGGACAGAGTCAAATGACTGTGAAGCTTMTTGTTCAAGGTCTGTATTTTRATGTTTTCTTTGTAATTGAGTTAATTAACTTTTTTCTCCATGTATCTGTTGATTTATTTGGTATCAGTGTGTATGTGTTCTTTATATTATATGGTATCAATCAAAATTTGTTTACAGTTGTTTTATCACTAAAGGAATRCCAATGCCTCCAACTGACTTCTACTACASAATASCATCCAATACAGAAGTGCACCTTTCCTGGAGACCAGGTAGAAGTGARAGCCAACAGGTAAACTTCATTATTGAATATAAGCGGAGTGGRGAGTCTTCCTGGACAGCAATAGAAGCTGGTACAAATACCAGTAAAGTTCTGAGTAATGGTGATGGCTGGAACAGMGTTTCTGTTAGAGTAAAGGCAAGAAATGCACATGGCACCAGTAAACCTTCAAAAGAACTTTACATAGGTATACATTATATTACAATATACATGCATAATACATATTTTTTGTAATTCAGTGAATGTGAATATGAAGCATTCATAGATTATTATTGATAAACYTTTTCAGCTTATGAAGAAATTGTTAACAAAAAAAGAAAACCAACGGCTCAGAAATCCACTGGCAGTGGGACYGTTATTGGCGGAGCTGTAGGAGGGATACTGCTTGTTGCTGTATTAGTACTGGTGATCCTTGTATTGTGGAAAAAACGAAAAAGAAAGTTACAAAGATATAGAGAACCAACAAGAAACCAAGCTTCTGTGAGATACACTCCAAGCTCTGTAAGCAGAATTCACAATCATCTTTCTTATGCTTTCCTGAATCCATCCATCCATCCATACCTAAATTTGTTATTTATTTCTTCATCCATTGATTCATTTCTTCAGTATTTTTTTCATCCTTGTCTTCATTGGTCCATTCGTTTGTTCATTTAGTTCATCCATCTATTTGTTTACCCATTCATCATTTCATCCATTTCTTTCTTATGCTTTTATGAATGATTCTTTGAATTATTCATCCACCATTAACCAAACAACTGTATCACAGCAACCACATGAGCTGCCACTATTAGAAGATATCTACGATGTTCCTGGAACGAACATAGATAGTTCTGGACAAGCCAGGCAACAGATTGCTGAAGGAAACGATTATGAGATTATTGGCAAGCCAGCATCTTGGGAAGTTCCTAAAAGGAATTTGACAATCAGTAAAGACCTTGGTTCAGGTCATTTTGGCAAAGTTGTCAAGGCATCAATGAAGACAAGTACTGGGCCAAGGGATGTGGCTGTCAAAATGCTGAAAGGTTAGAAAAAGACAACAAAAATTACAACTATTAAGCTAGTTTACTGTTAATTTCCACCATTTCAACTACATTGCGCCTATAGTTTTAGGATAAACAATAATAAAAGAAATAATGTTGTGAAATTGTTGGTTTGTTTGTTTTTTAAGAAAATGCTGGTGAACATCACAAGAAAGAATTTCTGGCAGAGTTAGAGTTAATGAAATCCCTTGGAACACATCCAAACATTGTTGGTTTGGTGGGCTGTTGTACCAAAGGAGGTAAAAAAACTTAATTCTCGAATTCCCGTATTGCTGAATGGTTTAATTTATACTAGACACTTAAAGACACTTAATACTAGTATCCTATCAGCAGGCATTTTAGTATTATTATTATATATAATGGTATTTTGTTAGTTTCCAAGTAACAATTCTGTACCTTTCTTTAGATAACCCATACATCATCGTTGAATACTGTTCACAAGGAAATCTGCGAAACTTCCTTCGGAAAAGCCAAGGAAATCGAGAATATTCTAACCTTGCTAGTGGTAGTATCAGTCTGACTTCAAGAGATTTATTATCTTTCATGTGGCAGGTCGCACGTGGAATGAGTTTCTTGGCCAGTAAAAAAGTATGGCTATCTCATTGATGTTTTCTCAGTTCAATAATAAAATACACCCGAAGTGACACCCAAATAATAAAGTATCAACTATACCATCATTTCATCAGTATCAATTGTGTTGGACAAAGGCTTCCYGTCCCAAAGCTGTTTSACTTTGAAGGAGTTTCCTACATTCGCGTCTCGTTCTGTTGTTGTTGAAAGCTCCTTTAATAGCCAAAATATGGTTCTATTATCGCGATTTCGCGCGACAGCAACATCATCAACTATCATGTTTTTCATCACCAACGTAAATATTCTTTTAATTTAATTCTATTTCACTCAAAATATGCAAAAGTAATGTTTTTTCGATAACYTTTCTTTTTGTTTTGATGTGTTTAAGCTGGTACACCGTGATCTAGCAGCACGTAACGTCCTTGTTCATGAAGGCAATGTCTGTAAGATAGCTGATTTTGGTCTGGCAAGGGATATCTACAACGAAAATCAATACCTGAAGACAACAGAGGTACATAAACCAGTCCTTATCTAAAACCAAATTTARTGATATGATGTGTGTAGATTATGAAATATATAAAAATATTATAAATATTGATATTAATGTCTGYTATTATCAAAATATTCATTATGGAATTCATGGACGATAGTAACTATGATAACAATCGTATACTGATCCCATTAATATATGAGACTTGTAATTTGCAAGGCTCGTAATTTAAACATTGAGCATGGTCGTGAAGTGTGATCTGTGAGCATTTCACGCATCCTCCACAAGACTTATTCATCCTGCTCTTGATGGAATGAATACCTCACCATCCACAACCAGAAAAAAAAAATAATTGTCTTCTCCAAAAGTTATGGTTCTATTGATGATGGTTATAATTGTAGTAGAGATGATATATAAMAATAATAATATGGTGCATTTTAGCATTACACAAGTATAATGGTTTACATATTYACGGTATATTTTCATGATTTAGGGTGAACTACCACTTCGTTGGATGGCATTAGAATCAATCTTTCACGGAATTACTACCACTGAAAGTGACGTGTAAGTCAATGATTTCTCTCTAACATACATGACGAACGTCTCTGACTTTTATTCATTAAWTAGGTGGTCGTTTGGAGTCCTCATCTGGGAGATCATAACCCTTGGTAAGTAGAACAGGAGASTAGCAAAAACGATATGTTAGTTTAACTTGTTAGTTATTCTTTTCTTTTACCAGGCGCCAATCCATACCCAGGGTTTACCAGAGAACAGTTGATTAGCAACCTTCACGTTGGCTACAGAATGCCTCGCCCACCGTACTGCAACGAAGTGCTGTAAGTAGTTTTAAAATCTCTGAAGAAATGTGAACTATTGCCAGTAAACCTGGTCTTCAAGAGTCGTTGTAAATAATAAAAAAACGTTTGGCTCAGTTTGTACGAGGGTTATATTTTATCCAYTGAAATAAATCCCTACAGAATCAATGGAGTGGATAAATGCAAAACTAATCTTAATTCTTATTGTGTTTAGATATGGAGTAATCTTGCAATGTTGGCATCAAGAACCATCTGAACGACCAACCTTCACAATGCTTTGTAGAACACTTCATCGCATGATGGCTGCAGAAAAGGTAGGCTTTCTRTATATTGTCCCACTCAAGAGGTCAGAAGTGGATCGTTAGTAAAGTGCGAAAGTCACTGAGGGTAGTAATGATTGCGTACCCTGTCGACGTTCTTTCACTCTGCCCCTCCCCCGTTTCCCCCCTTTCCCGTTCCCCCTCCCCAATGTACCTAAGAAGTTAAGTGCAGGTTTAGTAGTCCATTAAGTCTTGAATCTCAAGTGGTGTGCACAATAAAAATGATGGAGTCTTTTTCCTTTAGGTTCTGATAGATCTCTCTAACTTTGACGCGGAGTACATCAACGCCAAGAAAGATGGTGAGCCTGTTTCGCCGTGAATTATAGTTCAAGTTAATTCGAACGGATGTCCATATCTTGTGACAGACAGACATATTGATAGAGATTGAAAGATTCGTATTCTTCAGACCATATGGGATTATGGGAAGACGAAGACTTTAGTACAGAGACTCGCCATTCTTCCTTCATTCACAGGAAATCAGCGTAATCTTCTTCTGTCGTTCGTTTCTCACTTCCAGAAATAATAAAATACTGTAAATATTATTTCTAGGAGAAAGGAACGATAGAGATTACATCAGGATTCCCGAAGATGACCTTCCTTTTGGTCTTAGATTCTTATTGAGTCCAACTTCTTTTTTTCGATTAAAACTTTGAATACGACAGGCAGAGAAGCACATTCAGAATTTTAAGTGACTCGCATTCACAATCCAGTAACGCTTTTGACTAGCAGAAACTAATGATAATAGATTTGTAATTTCAAAAAATCGCTGCCGATAGTATGCGTGCACTSTGATCGTCTGTTTCTAGTTTTGCAAAGACGTGACYGGGMTGGGAGGGTTAGTGAGGACAGACCTACTTTTTTCAGATTTTTATATCATGAATGASTGTTSYTTTCAGACCACATGAACAACTGTCGTGTGATCTAAAATTGAAAAGATTTCATCCATGAAAAATAGTTATTTCTTAGAGACAAATCTATTTTAGTAATCAATTTTTGAAACAAATGTAAATATAGTACAGATATCTAATTATTGTTTTATAGTACAAGAAAATGTGATAAGTATTTTATTGGCGTACATCAGAGACATTTTATAATATTTCATAATAAATACCTTTTTTATAGTAATGTCTGCTTGTTCTGTATTTTTGTCAGAGAATGACCGATTTTTACGTATTTCACTGGGGTAGTCTGTTGAGGGTGGGGTTTGAACGAATCTGCACGATAGGTATAGTCTATAGTCTAGGAGTGGTTTGTTTGGGTTTTCCAGTAACTAAGATGATGTTTTGAGATTCGTAGGAGGGAGATGATAAATAAAACTAGAAATAGCAATTGTAGACTAAAAAGGAAGTACTCATATTTATTTCCTGGTCAGATCCTGTTTTTTTTTCTTCACATTATTGGAAAACAACTGATTACACCTTTAACACTGTATCTTCGTCGAGTTCACTGAAAAAAAATATGAATGGAAGAATTCAATTAAAATAATTAATATGATCAGTAATAAAAGTATTTATTGTGATTATAAAAATGATTTAAAAATCATTATGATAGCAATCATCATCATCAAGCAATACAATCTGAGGGGGGGGGGGGGGGGGGGGGTATACACAGGAACTCCTGGGCGTCAATGTGATTATAAAATCGATTTAAATTTCATACATGATGTTTCCTTCTTGATCATTTATTTTAATTGAACTGCTGTCTTGCTGGGAAGTTGATGTGTATCCATGGTGATTTCTGTATTCACAGACGGGATAAGCACAACAGCAGAAAATAGCACCAATTGTAAATACCAAACCAAAGATGCCTGTTATTAATCCAAGGAGTTTTCTTGTGCAGTAATCAAGACTGAGAATTCCACGGTCAAAATCTYAAAGAAAAAGAAAATTGGTAAAATCTGGGAAATAAAACAAGTTGTTCCATTACTGTTTTTTTATTCAAAATTCAGTTTGCACCAAATGGTAGGATCCAAAAAAAAACTCGATCTAAGCTGTTAGATGAACGAATCTGTTAATGCGGGTTTTCGTTTACCTGTAGAGTTCTTGGCGTTTGACCAAAACACAATCGATCTACATTCGCTCTTTTTCCCATAACTACTGACAGCAGAAACATTGGCAATGTAAACAGTACTTGGCTGAAGATCGTTCAGTTCTGTTGATCCACTAATGAACTCTGTGTATGCTCGTTTATGCAACCACGAGGGATTGTCTAGCTGTCGTACTTTTATTGTTACTTTTACTGCGTCAAAGAGGCCTCGACCGCGGACTTGCCACAGGATTTTCGTTGCTCGTGTGTATGAAATGTTTCTGGCCCATACAGATGGAATAATGGAAAATATTGGATCTTGACAGAAGGATAAAAGCAAATTCATTTTGTGATTGTATGCGAGATTATGATGAGTGATTTAATGGAAGTGAATGGGAAGATGAATGACCAAGGAATGAATGAATGAATGACAGGATGGGAAAATAAAATAAGAATAAATGGAATTGAATAAAATGATGAATAATAAATGATTAAAAAAGTGAAAGATGGATTCGAAGATAAATGAATGATGTCTAAATAGGCAAAAAGAAAAAAAAAAAGATAAAAGATAAACAGAGAATAAAATGCAAACCTTTGTTAACAATAACAGTGATTGCTTTTGACTTTGTCTGGTTTGATAGGGTGATGATCTTACAGCTATAAACGCCTTCATCATCGTGTCGAGCTCGTCGGATAGGAATATAGTCCGCACCAGCTTGAATGAGACTGCCTCCTTTATACCACAAAATATGCAACCATTTCATAGGCCTTGTCACACAAAACTGACATTGAATATTGACGGAAGCCTTCTCTTGGATAACATGGAACGACTTACCAGGCAAAAGGTGAATTTGTGCTGGGGGGAAAAATTACAGTTTTAGCTATTTTATTGCTGTAATTTCATAATGAAAAATTAAGGATCGAGCGTTATAATCGCTCATACCATTTTCACTAGTATCGTTGTCAACACCATGCCTTGACATTTTATCTGGTTCACACAGTTGTGGAATAAAAATCGGATGCTGTGAAGTCGGTGCCAAGGTATTCAAACTTGGTTGGATTGTTGTTTCGTACCTTCCACTTGTTATTAATTTGGTAGAGTTAAGAGTTGAAGATTCAGAATGTCTTTCTGTAGTAGAGTAATTGTGTGGTAAACTMATGGAAATAGAAGGTCTAGAAGTTGTTGACGGACTTGCTGTAGAGACTATAAGAACAACACAACGATTGAGTCAAGTAAGCAGTCCACTAGTTTCCACTGAGTAAACAGTTGTGAACTAAAGTTTGCTTACTCTACAACGATTTAAATATATTATTCTGATGGTGAAATGTCGTGTGATCTTTATCAAGTTTACCTGCAGCAAACGACGTCAACACCAACAAGCTGACAACTTGGACCAARAACACACCAGAATTCCCGGAGGATTTCATCTTTATCATGACTTTAGGACATTACGTCCGTGAAATACGCTCCGGATTCAAAGTGGAACGGGTAATTTGATGTTAATCATTCATAATTAAATCTTTAAACAATGCTAATTGCATTAATGAATGGATTGCAAAAACGAGCGAAAATACCGCCATRTTGGATTTCTCCCATAATGCAACTCTGTAATCATGGAAAAGGGCGGGGTCAAATTKTCAGTCTCCGCAGATTTTTTCCGTTTTCGATCAGAGATTGTATAAAACATAAGTAACAATATCAAGTATGTTAGTTGTATTTTATTCTCACACAATACACTAACAGCCAACCACTCCTAATCCAACTTAACAATCAAACGAAACCATTATTATTCCTATTATAAATACGCTGAAAATAACAACTATAAGCAATTCAATGCGTAATTTCTTTATAATCGGTAATAAGACTTTTCCAAAAGAGAGATTTKGATAAATTTATGCAGTAAAGGCCATTGAAAATACTGGAAGGATGACCCAACCTATGATAAGTGTMTTCTAAATTACAAGAAAAGATTTATATTTAAATACACAATATCACAGTGCATTATACACTGGTAAATTCCATCCCACATGGCACACAACCCAAGCTAAAACATATCAACATTTTAGCACACGATCCGCTTCAATGACAATCCAGATAACTTAATGTCTATCTCACATGAGATTTTATAAAAAAAATTCCATACAAAAATTTAAACGGCTTGTTTGTAAAGTGATTGCGCAGGCGTAATAATACATAGCAAAAGATTACATTATTATCTAATATTGATCAAAGCCTAAATTCTATCAAGTTACCATCAGAGAGAGGATAGGTTTTTTGATTTGYTTATGTTAGAATGTGCTCTGCCATGGATGGTTCTCATAATAAAATGCAATCAATACTTTTGGTCTGAGAGTGAAGTATAACGGACAACATGAAAATTTGAGATTAGTGGAACATCTTTAAATCATTCTATTCAGATTCTTCCCTGCTAGCAGTGTCTCTATCTTTGTAGCTTCTAGTAGGGAACTACAATAAGAGACTGTGCTTGAAGGAAAATCAAATTCCAGTTGATTTCGTTTTTGTTCTGAACAATCCACAGCAGTCTTGAATATATTCAAGAGTTTTCAACAGCCTCCCAAAGAGGCCAAAATTTCCCCTCTCATGTTGTAACAATGACAGTGAAAACACCAAGCTTTTGTGCCTTGTGAGCTTCCATCATGTGTATTAGATATTATGACCAACACCTAGTATGGTGGAAGGTCACAACACAAGTTAGCCTGCATTTCCAGCAGTCTGGCAACACAGGCTGTTTTGCAAGGTGATAACCATGGCAGCGTGATCGTCTAAAAGAGCTGATTTAAGTAGAAGCTTAAATAAAGCAGTGCATCAAMGCACAGGATTCTACCATGACAGGATTTTGTCCTATTCATTTATAAAATATATTCTTTTGTACAAAATTATGTCCTGAAATCGTACACTAATTAAATAGTTGGTTGCATGTAGCCTAGAGGAAGTTGGCCTCCCATTGGTGGATACGTACGGTCTTGCGGTGAGCTGGGAGTCTGAGAAGTAATTTAAATACGAGAAATAGTTACCAATGACAACATATTCTTTTACAAGTTTAACATACTAGAGGTAAGTGGTTGTGAAAATATACTGTAAATATACTTCATAATTCTATAAGGAAAATAGATATAGTTTTGACAGCTTTTTCACACTTGGATAATGATACTAAACCTATTAACCATATAAACCAGCATGCTATGTTTTATATTTCACTATGCCATAAATAGTTGAGTGACAAACATGCTTATCAGCAAGTCAAAGGAGATACCACATATTTTTACAGAAAAAATAAMGTACATGATTATTATTAAGAAATGAAAAAAAGAAAAACTTACAGGAGTATAAAGTTTGAATGACTTGTAAACGTCTAGTAATTCTTCAATGGTGTACTGACATCAAGAAAACAACCACACATTAGCAACAATTAATGATAAGAGAATTTGAAAAGATATAATTTTGCTTAAAGTGTAGGACTTCTGTGGTGGAACACAGGTAGCCCAATGATAGTGCAATAGCCGACTTGCGAGTTACGCATCAATAGTCACATACAAAGGAATCAAGACGAGGCGCCGTGCTTTTTTGTGAAAAATCTATTGTCTTTAGCACGGCGCCTCGTCTTGATTCCTTTGTATGTGATTATTGATGCGTAATTCGCAAGTCGGCTATTCATCAAGCTGGGATGGATATAGTACTCACTTGATTCAATACAATGAAGCCTTCCAGTGTGRTACTTGTTTTTCTTGCGCAGTCTTGACAGTACACCTGATGTTTACGTGTATTTGTTACTAGCACAAACAGAAGGTTAAACACCTCAACCTGGAAATAACAAAAACACAAATATTAAGTAATGAGTAAATAATAATATAATAACGATAAGATMATCATGTTACCTCACACTGTGAGCAATAATGTGGATATTCATCAGGTTGTTTGCCATGCCACTGGACTTCTATACCACTTCTCTTTAAGTTTTCTATAGTTACCTGACTGCATTTAAGTGTTCTCTCAAGAATTCTCCTACAATAATATAATAATTATGTTAAGAATATATGCAGACTTCATAGTCCTCTAAAGATTCATAAACATACTTTATATGCTCATATAATCGTTTTTCTGTTATTCTGATGTTCCTAGCCAAGTTCCATGTTAAGTGAATCATTGCAACTATAGACTTTTCACCTGTGGACAAGATTACGCAATTATTWTTACAGTTTATTAAACACACACCTGTTAAATATCTTTTGATTTATCAGTGCAACTTTCTTACCCTGAAGTTTGTTCCATTCATAGCGCTCCACAGCAGCAGAAAACACATGAGCTAAAAGTACCAAATTATGATCATGAGTAACGTRAATGGGAGAATAAATGAATAAATYTAATAAAAACAATCTTTATATACATTTATATAATATATATTAYATAATTCATACCTGTGACGGGTCCGACATTCCAAGCAATGTTATTACACCATCCCTAAACCAAATACAAATATTAGGTATTAAAAATATTAACATTATATAGGTATACAAACATCACATACGGCTACCATGAAGGATATTCACTGGACATGTGTGTTTCATTACTTACCAATGATTGTACCCAATGTACAACYCCAGGGTTTAACCATACCAAATCTCCTGGTCTTTGAATAAACCTATACACTGGTACACGTTCTTCATAGAGTTCTTCTAACATTGGCCACCATGATCCTTTACAAAAATACAATTAGTCAGTCTTACCTGGGGGTTGAATGTTGTTAATATTTTACAGATTACTTACCAGTTAGAAAATTGATATTATACCTAAAATAGAAAAATAAACAAAGATTATTGTAATAGACCTAAGTAAGGTTCAATTCTTGCAAGCATCTTGTRACAAAACATTTTGTGYTTTGTTGGGGGAATGAATTCTCTCCCTTTTGGCTRAGCAATGAAGCTATATTTCACTAAATTAATAATTTATTTTCTCCACATGACCTTGACCATTGTAATTATGAGTTGCAAACAAAATACAATATTACATACTTTTCACACAAGTTGTGGATCACTCCCCAGTATTCACAGGGTGTGGCAAACCACTCACAGTCCCCAGGACCAATGTTGATATTCAAAGCACAAAAATTGTTATTTTCTTGATGACCTGCCAAATAAAAAATACATGAGAAGAAATAAATAAATGAAAATGGATTTACATGTGAAGAAATAAATGCATGAATAGATGGATGGATGGACAAAATTATAAATGGATGAATAAATAAATTGATGAACAAAGAAATAAACAGACAGAAGGAKTGACAATCAAGTACATATATCAATACAACAATGTATTTGTAAAGAATAAGAATGCCTCAATGTTTAGGGCCAGTAGATAAATAATCTTGATTCCTACCTGGTGTTCTGGATCCTGGGATCTTCATGTATAATTGTACAGAATTCATTCCCAGTATGGTGTGTCCAAAGTGGCTTAGCAAATTGTTAGGAGCAACAACCTAATATCATTACAAATAATGTGTTACATAACAATAGAGTTTTACTGCATTACTGCATATAATCAATAACAATGATAATAACTTACTCTTGAAAATGGTGGTAGTTTGTTTAGTTCTTGAAGTTGAACTTTCCACCTGAAAAAGAAAATAATGGTATAAAATGTGAAAAAATAGAACAATATCACTTTTGAASAAAATATAATAAACTTACTTTCTCTCYTCAGACAAGTCAACATTTGTGCCAAACTTAATCCATTTAAACTTGCTTCCTCTGCCATTCTTTTTACTGTAAACAATGTTATGATTAAGTTGAAATATCAAGATTATCTGTAAGTCAAAGGATTCTTACTGACCTTTTAGAACTGGAAGAGGAATCACTATCTGAAAGTAATGGTTCATTYCCCCTCATAAGTCGTTCTTGTTCTTCCTATTGAGAATGATTCAAATCATATATTAATATTACCATTGACTTGAACTGCACAGAAATGTTATTACATTAAATTATATATTTAACAAATAGATCTCATTTTTCCGTGCGTGTGTACACTAATAGATACACAGATGACGTCAAAATGTAGTGAGAACAAAAAAGTACGCACGAGACGCAGTCGAGTGCGTGACTGTTGTTCTCACTACATTTTGATGTCATCTGTGTATCTATTAGAGTACACACGCACGGAAAAATGAGATCTATCTGTTTTATACAACAAACAATTAGTTTTGACGTAATCCGTGTATCTATATTTTGATAACACACGAAAGCCAACCAATCAAAACGTCTGATTTTACTGAAAAGTTGTATAATATATAATACAGCCGTTTGTAATAATTCTGACCCCCCCTACACTAATATTC